GGAAATACTGTTAGCCTTTTTCCTTCAATATGGATACTGATTTACCCGCCCCGCCTCCTTCCCCATAAACACCCCACATACTTGTTTCTCTGGCTCTCGTGTTCTGTGATTCCCCAGCGCAAATCAATCTCCTGGATTGCTAAGCAGAAGTTGGCGGCTCGTGCACGCAGCTCGGGAAAAACAGAGCGAATAAGTAGGTCACGTTCACCGTGCATGTCCCGGAAAGTAGAGGAGACGAAAATCCTCACAGAGCGCCACCTGCTGGAAAACAGGAGTCAATACCCAATTCTCCACCCAGAGTAACTCGTGGTCTTTCTCGTTACTTCCCCTTAAAATCACCTGCTCTGGGGGACAGGTGTCAAGGACACAACTCCAGGTTCCTGCTCAGCTGTCGCTGTTCGCCGTTGCTTGGGCAAGCCGTGAATCTCGTCAACTTTGTCAACATGTTCTAAGAACCGGGAATTGCCACATTCAGACATAAACCTGGCCGAAGGAAGAAAGGTCTTTTACCATCTAGAATTTCCCAGCAGACCGTAAAGCATACAGACACCCATCAGCTACCGAGATTTCTGCTTTCGTTCCAACTGCTTCTTTAAACAACCACTAGCTATCCAAGCTCATTGTGAGCCCTGGTGGCGCAGTGGTTAGAATGCAGTATTGCAGGTTAACTCTCCCCACAGCCTGGAGTTCGATCCTGACGGGGGCTCAAGGTTGACTCAGCCTTCCATCCTTCTGAGGCTGGTAAAATGAGGAGCCAGATTGTTGGGGGCAATAGGCTGAGAATTGAGGCTTTTGAACTATGGTGCTGGAGAAGACTCCTGCGAGTCCCTTGGACTGCAAGGTGATCAAACCGGTCAGTCCTAGAGGAGATCAACCCTGATTGCTCTTTAGAAGGCCAGATCCTGAAGTTGAAACTCAAATACTTTGGCCACCTAATGAGAAGGAAGGACTCACTGGAGAAGGGCCTAATGCTGGGAAAGATTGAGGGCAATAGAAGAAGGGGACGACAGAGAATGAGGTGGCTGGATGGAGTCACTGAAGCAGTAGGCGTGAGCTTAAATGGACTCCAGAAGATGATAGAGGACAGGAAGGCCTGGAGGAACGTTGTCCATGGGGTCGCGATGGGTCGGACATGACTTCGCAATTAACAACAAAATAAACTGCCCAGAGAGTGCTCTAAGTCTAAAGCACTGTGGGGAGATATATAAGTTTAAGAGCTATTGCTACCGTGTTTCCCTGAAAATAAGGCCCAGTCTTATATTAACTTTTGCTCCAAAAGATGCATTAGGGCTTATTTTCCGGTTAGGGCTTATATTTGGGGAAATATGGTACTAAATGCATCCCTCTGGCTGACAATCTTAACTGGGGCTTATTTTTGGAGTGGGGCTTATATTACGAGCATCCTGAAAAATCATGCTAGGGCGTATTTTCCAGTTGGGTTTTACTTTCAGGGAAACACAGTATTATGTAAACTCTCTTTAGTCTTTCCTACTGTGGAATCAGCCTTCCGTGATCCACCTTAAAGCAACCCCATAACAAAATGTAATCGTTCACACATCACACAAACCATCCACATTTATTTCTACCCACTGGTTTAGCTCCGAGGCTTACCTGAACATTTGCTCGCTGAAACCATGGATTACCACATCCTTTCTGGATTTAAAAGTTCTCTTCTCCCTAAAGATGGAAGGCAAAAAAAAGTGTTCCTTTAAGTGCACAGTGCAATGCTAATTCAGAATTCTTTTTAACTAGACCAGGGCTTTTCAACCTTTTCACCCATTGTACCACTTTTAGGATATGGCAACATCCAAGTACCACCAGTCGCCTAGCAAGGTGTCAAAAACTTGATGACCCCGCCCAAAAAAGGAAAAAAGTGATAAAGTACAGGTAGTCCTTGACTTACAACAGTTCGCTTAGTGACTGTTCGAAGTTACAATGGCACGGAAAAAAGTGCCCCCCAAGCCACAGCCGAGCAAGACACCTGCCTGCCCACCTGGCGGCGCTCTTCCTCCTGTCCGAGGTTTTCATTGTTGTGAGCATTTATGTTGAGGATTGGCAGCGGGGGTGGGGTGGGGGGTGTTTGGTTTTTATTCTCCCCTTCTGCTGGGTGGTTGCAGCAGGTTTTGGTCACTTCACAAGATCCTGGGACACCGTGACCGTCATAAATATGAATCAGTTGCCAAGCATCTGAATGTAAATCACAAGACCCTGGAGATGCTGCAACATTCCAGCTGATCGGCGCTTCTTCTGGGCTCAGCAGAAGCGCCAAGATCAGCGCCGAACTCCAGCTGGAGCCTGGCGCTGATCCTGGCGCTTCCGCTGAGCCCTGACAGCCCTGCAGCTCCAGCCATCTCTCGCTCAGGCTTGTGCGGTGCTGCCACCAGTTCAGCTCATTCCCCTCCCCTGCTACCACTTTTCTAGGATGGTTGCGTACCACCTGCCAGGTGCCAATGTACCACAGGTGGTACCCCGTACCACTGGTTGAAAAGCCCTGGACTAGACAACCTGTGCCCCAGTTGGGTTAACTCTGAAATATTCCTTACCTAAACAATAAAACAGAAGGAACAGAGGGAGGCAAAAAAAAAGCAGTGGGAGCAACTTTCTGACTTTCTGACAGCTTCCCCATTGACTTTCCCTGTAGGAAGCTGGGAGGGAGTCTGGAAAATGATGATCACATAAGCACAGCTGACTGTGGTAACAGGGCAGCCTGAAGCAGGCACAACTTTCCCAAATTTTAATCACATAGGAACCGTGAATTCCGAATTTTTGGATGCATTTGGTTAGTCCATTTGAGGTGCATGGATTCAAAAATTGTAGCCCTGTGATGCACTGTTTATGCCAGATGAAGGTTACAAATGATCAAACAGACACAAGAGTTTTAGCAGTATATAGCAGTGATGGCAAACCTTTTAGAGACCGAGTACCCCAAAACTGCCCTGTCCTCGGCCCTGCCCTGCTCCACCCTCACCCCACCCACCCTCAGGGCCATCCACGGCCCACTGCAGATCGCCCAGGTGGCCCTGCAGCGCTATGGTGGCCACGCCCTCCTCCCACGCCCCGCAGCATCATCTGCTGCCCAGCTGCCGTGTGCTTGGCTGTGCTGCTCCAGCAGGCTGAACCCGGGGGGGGACTCTCCTCCAGGGGGGCTGCTGGTGCGGAGGGGGCTGTGGGGGGAGGCGGGGCTGGGGCGACGGCGTGCCTGCGTGCCCACATAGAGGGCTCCGAGTGCCGCCTCTGGCACTCGTGCCATAGGTTCGCCACCACTGGTATATAGATTTCAGTCACTCAGGGTGAAGCGCTTCAGAAAGGGTCCATCAAGAGGAATAAAAACAAATGAACAGTCTAAGGCAGGATGTCTATGGAGATTCTCAGTCATCCAGGTCATACTTGTCCCAAAGATGTCCCAAGTCATCAAGCTCCCACTTGGCAGTTTATCTGTGTCGTCAGGGTCACCTGAGCAGTGCAAATGGGTGTGGAGCCTTCTTGGAACTGCTGAAAGGACTGTGTTGTAGACTGGAGATAGATGATGCCAGACCTCTATGGAGAGCGGGGTTGTTCAGTTTTGACATAGGTGGCCTCTTTGACCCCTCTTCCAAACCAAAGCCAAAATTGAACAGCCCTCTCTCAACACAGGAGGAGGGATACGGCATCATCTATCTCCAGTCTACAACACAGTCCTTTCAGCAGTTCCAAGAAGGCTCCACACCCATTTGCACTACTCAGGTGACCTTCAGGACACAGATAAACCTCCAGGTGGCCTCAACAACTCTCTAAAAGGAGGCAAATGACCGGCTGCCCACAAGGAGTATAAATCCTTCCATTCCCCACCATCCAGTCAGAGCTGAAGAAGCTTCATGGATGAGAAGCGAAACGTCTTCAAAGAAAAACAAGAAAGTCCAGTTGCCTCGTGAAAAAGCATCTTTGGGTCTAAGGCAGGACGCACTCTCTCTCCTTACCCTGGCTCAGCACAGATGTTGATGAAAAGGCAGTCTGGGGCAACATGGTGGCGATATGTCTGGAGACAAGAATCGCTGAGCTCCTCAACATCACTACTTAGCAAGAGAATCGTATCAACCTGGAGTTGGGAAAGAAAAATAAGAGCTCCGTAACACGCAGGGACTCATCACACTGACCTGCACATGTTAAAACTCCCAGGCAACGGCTTGTGGGTGCAAAAGTCCTTTCTGCAGCTTTTTTTTTCTTTCTGTTTAAGTGAAGACCTCGACAGACTTCAACTCCATGCAGCCAGCAGCTGCATTCATCAAGTTCTCCCCAACCCAAACCTGTTGCTGAACTACAACTCCCATCAGCACCCTGTGGATGGGATCGTAGGAAGCTGCAACCAATGCTGAGGGTTGTTATGGAAGCTACCAAAGCTTTGAGACCTCTCCCATCCTAAGCCCCTTTTTGTCCAGCTGGCCCAAGAATGTGCAAAGACTTTTGCTTTCTTCTGCTGTGCAAAATCAAGGCTACCATTGTAAAAACAACAACAACCAATTCTTTGGATGAGATCCAAAAGAATGGTCATCTAGAACCTAACTGGATCTAGTTTACACCAATCCCGTGCACTAAGCATCACTATTTGTTTGCTGTCCTCAAACCCACTCGCCTATTCACACAATTCGTGATTATTCATATTTATCTGGAGAAGAGGGATTAAGGTCCTCTAGAAACATCAAGGCAGAGAGGCAGTGATTGTTTCACTGAGGACACCTGTTCTAAAGACATCTTCATTCATTAACCTGATGGATTTTTAACTCAGTGTTTCTCAACCTCGACAATTTTAAGGCATGTGGACTTCAACTCCCAGAATTCCACAGCCAGCATTGCTGGCTGTGGAATTCTGGGAGTTGAAGTCCACATGCCTTAAAATTGTCAAGGTTGAGAAACACTGTTTTAACTGATCCTTTTGTCCAGCCTGTTCTTCTAATTTGAAGGCTTCCTCCATTTTTTATCATGGACTCACGTGTTCCCGCCGAGTCAAGAAATCCTTGATGACGTCCGATGATGACCAATCGTCACTGTAGTAAACTGTGTTGTACTGGAAGAAGAAGCATTGGACACATCAGCCACTCCTAGATCCATGATCCAGGCACAAAGAATCAGGACCATTTGTGTAGATAGCACTTAGACTTATATACCATTCCATAGTGCTTTACAGCCCTCTCTGAGCGGTTTTACAGAGTCAGCTTATTGCCCCTCAACAACCTGGGTCCTTATTTTACTGACCTCGGAAGGATGGAAGGCTGAGTCAACCTTGCACCAGCCAGGATCAAATTCCTGGCAGTGGGTAGAGTTAGCCTGCAGTACTGCATTCTAACCACTGCACCACTAGGGCTCCCATTTATTTTTTTTGCAGCATAAATGATTTATTGAGGCCTATACACAAGAATCTGGACAACTAAAACTGTCAGCACTAAATTGACGCTAGATGGAGTGAGTGGAAATCAAGGACGACTTGGATCCTTTGTGGCAACGTAAGGATTCTAAACTGATGACACATTTTACTACCCCCCCCAGCTCTGCCTTCTCTTCTCCTACAAAATGGAGCTCTTCTGTAGATTCACTATCTGGCTAATCAGCACCTGGCAATCCAGACAGCTTCTTCTGTCTCCATGTCAGTTTCTTTTTCTACTTTGTTATATTTGGGGTGGGGGGGGAAGAGAAGAGGAAAATGTACCTCTTTTTCTCCTATTGTTTTTGCAATCTTCATTGTGCAAAGTTATACACCCATCCCAACATTCCCTTGGGGAGGTAAGCAAAGCTATGCTTACTTACACAGAACAAAACTGAAGGAGAAAGCTGAAGAAATTAAAATCAGGGAACCTAACTAGATCTAGTTTACACCAATCCTAGTCACTATTGCTCCCCCTTAAACTCTCTGGCTGATTCACGCAATGTGTGATTATTCCTATATATCTGGATAAAAGTAAAAGACGGTGAAATCCAGTGGTGGGATTCAGCCGGTTCGCACCACTTCGGCAGAACCGGTAGCTAATTTTTTGTTCCCCAGGCCCAGAATGGACTTCCGGAAGCGGCATCCACACAGAGAACCGGTTGGTTCACATATTTGAATCCCACCACTGCTGAAATCAAAGCCTTGCCCTAAGCCCAACGTCTCTCTCAGTTCCACATCTTACCATCTTCTGTAAGGTTTGCACATCCTTCAGCACAGAACCGGTCATGGGAATAGCCCCCACAATGTCTGAAAAGTTGCAGAAGAAGACTTTAGCCTGTTCACAGACCGAATATAACATGGATCCCAGCAACATGGCCAAGTCTCGGATCTAGAGAGAGGAGAAGAGTGACACTGAAAGAGGCGCACAAAGCTGGCCGTTCAAAGTTACAACAGCATTGAAAAAAAGGGACCAATGATCGGTTTCCACACTTACGACCACTGCAGCATCCCCATGGTCACGTGATCAACATCTGGGCACTTGGCATGTATTTGTGACACTATCCCGGGGTCATGTGATCCCTATTTGCCACCTTCCCAGCCAGTTTCCAACAAGCAAAGTCAATGGGGGGGGAAAGTCATATTCACTTAACAACCATGTTACTAACTTAACAACTTCCTTAACCATGTCCCCAAAAGTAAAATGGCGATCACGTGACCCCCAAGAGGCTTCATGATTCATTTAACAACCCTTTAACTGACCATATTTGTTATACATGCCAATACAAGTAGCCCTCGACAGTTCGTTTGGTGACTGTTCAAAGTTACAACGGCACTGAAAAAAGTGACTTATGTCTGTTCTTCACACGACGGTTGCGGCATTCCCCATGGTCACGTGATCAAAATTCAGAAGCTTGTCAACTGACTCATATTTATTTATTTATTTATTTATTTATTTATTTATTTATTTATTTATTTATTTATTTATTTATTTATTATTATTTATATTTCTACCCCGCCCTTCTCCCTACGGACTCAGGGCGGCTTACAGCCTTTTAAAAACAAATACATAAATATAATAATACTAAAGTTAAAATGTTAATTTAAAATGAAATATTATTATAAGGCCTTTATTATTTTTTTATAAAAATTATTATAAAACCATGTTAAAAATAACCCTTAGGCCA